TGCTTTGTGCTTAATACATATATTTCACTAGAAGCCCTTTAACAGAGAGAGGGCTGTTCTGGGACATGTTTGAAACCTGAACAGGTATTTGAGACTTGTTCCATAGCTATGTATCTCAATATCTATGAATCGTTATCTCCATGTCCAGTTTGAAATGATTTACCTAAGTCAGAATTCACTGTGGCTTGGATAACTACCCTATTGGGCAATCAATATATAATATATATGGAGAAAAATATTTAGCAATTTATGAAGATCAGTAATATATTTCTATGCGTAGTTTCCATGGGCAATCTCACCTTCACTATAAAGCTGTTCACGGTCTCCTTTGCTTCCTTCATAAAGAACTCTTTTCTAGTTACGTTGAACCCCTTTCCGTTTCTTCAGCCTCCCTTTTTATGCTCTAAGTCACCTCCATATCTTTGTATATGTTGTTTCTTCTGTCTAAAATAGTCTTCACCAGCTTCTTAACTTGACTAACACTACATGTCTTAGTATGCAGCTCTGACATGCATGGTCTGGGAAGACAGCTTTTCCATGCCCCGCCCCCCAACTCCCTGCCAATAACCACCCCCACATGCATACACATGTGCATGTTACAAGCACATACGCGTATATAAATAAACCTTCCTCTGTGTCCTAATTGCCTCTTGTGCATGTATTTATCACAAAACCAACACATCCTACTGTGTTGTCTCATTCTCCACCCCCTGTTATAAGGTGAATTCCTTTTAGGTATACTGCATCTTCCAGCATTAAATCCCAGTGTTTTTCAAAGTGTTTAGTATATAAAAGCATTTCATTGAATGTTCGTTTAATGAATAAATATTAAGAGAGTAGAGAAATCAGTGTGGGTTGGAGTACGACGATTAGGAAGCTGGGTGTTAAGCCAGATTTTGAAAGATAAGTAGTACTTGGATCAGTATTTCAGGAAGAGGAAGATGAACAAAGGCAGAGCTGGGATAGAAAGACAGGAATGTAGGAAACAGAAAGAATGAAGGAAGGGAAGGAGGGAGGGAGGGAGGGAGGGAGGAAGGAGAATGGCATCAAAAGACATCAGGTAAGGAGTGGTAGGAGATTGAAGAGACCCAGTGCGTTCTAAGAAGCCTGGCTGCTGGGCTGAAGAATATAGGTTTGAATCAATAGGTAATAGGGTTCCATAATTGGAGATTTGAATTATCTGGCAGTGAAATAAATAGGTTGGAGGAAAACCTAGAATTATGAGTGACAGTAGTAGGACTATAAACAAAAAGGAGGGGGGATGAAAGTTAATAAAGAAAACCAAGATAAGTGTAATTTGTTCGTCTTCTTATTTGGAAAATAATATTAAGTATATTAATATGCAAAGAATAAAGACGTTATATTTGCAGTGGACTTATTTTCCCTGAAGCTAATTGGTTAATTTTAATTTTTGCTTCTTGAGACCCCTACCAATTCTTCTCTAACTCTGCAGACATTCAAGTACTGACTTGTTTGTATATATCACTGTATCTCCACATTGAATTTAAGAATTTCTGCCAGATCTGTATCTCTGATGAGATTTTTAAAATTAACAGGCAGGGCTTCCCTGGTGGTGCAGTGGTTGAGAGTCTGCGTGCCGATGCAGGTGATACGGGTTCGTGCCCCGGTCTGGGAGGATCCCACATGCCGCGGAGCGGCTGAGCCCGTGAGCCATGGCCGCTGAGCCTGCGCGTCCGGAGCCTGTGCTCCGCAACGGGAGAGGCCACAACAGTGAGAGGCCCGCGTACCGCAAAAAAAAAAAAAAAAAAAAAAATTAACAGGCAAACCCATATCATCTTCTTCTTTAATGTGATGTTCAGTTAATTGGAAAGTATGCACTGCAAGCATAAAGCACATCTGAATATATATTTAAAACTGGTAAAGATACCATTTTAAAAGTAAAATTGACCATTATCTAAACTTTTGATTGTAAACTCAATTGATTTCTAGGGTTTTCATAGCTGTTTATACTTTTATAGAGCAAATTCTATTTGAGAATTAAATAATTTCTTCTGAATTTGAAGACAAATTTTAAAATATTATTTATAAAACATCTAAATATTTTTCAATGTATATACATATATACACATACATGTGTGCACTTAAGAATATGCATTACATGTTACCTTAATGAAACATGATGGCTAAATGAAATTAATATTAATTCATGTGCAGGGAAATACCTAGTCTTTCGGCCTTGTCTTCTCAGCCATCCAGTCCCTTGAGAAAGCAAATTTTGTTCAGACACAAAAGAAAAATGTACTATTAAAATGCAATTCAGAAGTGATAAAAAGTGTAAGTACAGCAGCCAGCTTACAGCACCTCCTCTGTATACTCAGGGACATTGGGGCCACATTAATTTTTTGTATGTGTGATGTCCATCCCATGTGCAAATTAGCACTGGAAGGACCATAATCTTTCTTACATGAGAGCTCTTTTCTCAAGAGCATATATAATACATGCCTGTGTAATTTTGTATAATTCAAAGCTCTGCGTTCTGTTTATTGTTTATCTTAAATAGGCTTAGAGAATATTTTCTTAGGAAAAATATTTAAAAGAAATTGTAGGGGCTTCCCTGGTGGCGCAGTGGTTGAGAGTCCGCCTGCCGATGCAGGGG